AGAGGATGGTTCCAGGGTGGAAAAGCCCTAAACAGACTTTATAGTTTCTCAAGTTTTCCTTGGAATAGCCCTGTCAGGGCACCCCCTCACCACACTCTTTCCTGCTCCACTAAAAATAGGAAAGGCTTACAACCCTGCCCTGTCTCCGTCCCAGGTCCAGCGCAATCAACGTTGTGAAGATCCTGAGAGTTCTGCGAGTACTCAGGCCCCTGAGGGCCATCAACAGGGCCAAGGGGCTAAAGGTGAGAGAAAGGTGGGCCTGGGCCTGAGCCTGGCCAGGGAGCCACCCACAGGGCCAACAAGCATCAGCTACTCAGTTCGTTAGTGGAACTCAGTAGAGGTGAGGGGTGGGCTTCAGGGAGGAGATAGTGGTCAGGCTGCCATGTTGGAGCCTGGACTCTGCCTGCCTACACTTCTGGTCCCACTCAAGTCCTGATTCCATGCTGAACAGAATAATGACAGAGGCAGCAGCCATTTAGAACCTGAGCCCCTAGTAAAATGCAAAGGGGAGACCCTCACACAAACCTGGTGCCCCACGTTGAACAGAGGAACTATTCCTACATCCCTACTGCAAAAATAGGAAATTAGCAGGGTTCTTTATCCCTGTTGTCACCTAAAGTCCAGTGGGGGACTTTTTTTTTTTTCATTGTTGTAGTTTAGATGAGGTTTACATTTCAAGATAGTCTCCCATACAAAAATTTATACATACATTGTTATGTGACCCTAATTGCTCTCCCCATACAGTGACAGCACACTCCTCCTTTCCACCCCGGATTCCGGTGGGGGACCTTTGAGTTCATTGGCTTCCATTGCTCACTCAACGTGTGACTCTGGGAAACTTATTTTGCTTTTTTTGAGCCTGATCTCCTCCACTTGTGGCAAAGGGGTTGCCTCCCCAGAGAGGCTCATGGCTTGGCCAGAGGAGGCTGAGGCTGCAGGCACCTCGTGAAGCCATGTCCCCTTCCCCTGACCCTCTTCCCACTGCAGCATGTGGTTCAGTGTGTGTTTGTTGCCATCCGGACCATCGGGAACATCGTGATTGTCACCACGCTGCTGCAGTTCATGTTCGCCTGCATCGGGGTCCAGCTCTTCAAGGTAAAGTCTTGGCTCTGATTTGTGGTTCTGCTTCCTTCCCCTCCCATCAACACTCCCAGGGAAGGTGTCTTGGTTTCCTAGGGCTGCCATAACAAAAATACCACAAAGTGGGTGGCTTTGTGTTGTTGTTGGTGCCTTCGAGTCGATTCCTACTCATAACGACCCTATGTACAACAGAACAAAACACCGCCCGGTCCTGTGCCATCCTCACAGTTGCTGCTATGTTTGAGTCCATTGCTGCAGCCACTGTGTCAGTCTCATCTGTCAGTTTGTCATACTGTGGTGGTTTGCGTGTTGCTATGATGCTAGAAGCTGTGCCACTGGTATTTCAAATGCCAGCAGGGTCACCCATGGTGGACAGGTTTCAGCAGAGCTTTCAGACTAAGACAGACTAGGAAGAAGGACCTGGCAGTCTACTTCTGAAAAAAATCGGCCAGTGAAAACCTTATGAATAGCAACGCAACATTGTCTGATATAGGGCTGAAAGATGAGCCCCTCAGGTTGGAAGGCACTCACATACAACTGGGGAAGATTTGCCTCCTCAAAGTAGAGTTGACCTTAATGATGTGGATGGAGTCAAGCTTTCGGGACCTTCATCTGCTGATGTGGAATGACTCAAAATGAGAAGAAACAGCTGCAAACATCCGTTAATTATTGGAACGTGGAATGTACGAAGTATGAATGTAGGAAAATTGAAAGTCATCAAAAATGAAATGGAATGCATAAAGATCGATATCCTAGGCATTAGTGAGCTGAAATGGACTGGTATTGGCCATTTTGATTCAGACAGTCATATGGCCTACTATGCCAGGAATGACAAGTTGAAGAGGAATGGCATTATGTTCATCGTCAAAAAGAACATTTCATTGATCTATCCTGAAGCACGATGCTGTCAATGGTAGGATAATATCCTTATGCCTACAAGGAAGACCAGTTAATATGACTATTATTCAAATTTCCTCACCAACCACTAATGCCAAAGGTGAAGAAATTGAAAATTTTTACCAACTTCTACAGTCTGAAATTAATGAAACATGCAATCAATATGCATTGATGATTACTAAGTGGCCTTAAAGGACAATAATTTTATTGTCTCACAGTTCTGGAGGCAAAAAGTCCAAATCAGGGTGTCAGTCATGTCAATTCTATCTAGGGGGTTTGAGAGAGGAACTGTTTCATGCCTCTTTTCTAGTTTTGGTGGCTGCAGGCAATCCTTGGTGTTCCTTTGCTACTTATGGTATGCATCTGGCTGTGTCGTTATATGGCATCTGTCTTCCCCCTGTGTGTGTCTCTGTTTCTATGTCTGGCCTTCTTTTCTATGAAATGCCATTCAGAAAGGGTTAGGATTAGGATTTGCCCTACTCTGGTATGACTTCATTAACTTCACTGACAGTATCTGCAAAGAAAAACCCTATTTCTCTAAACAAGGTCATATTCACTAGTGCAGGGGTTAGGACTTCAACATACCTGTTTGGGGGACACAATTCAATCCATAACAGAGAGGAACTGGAGATACAACAAAAATAGGAGAGTAGCCTCCAACCACAGCCCTACACTCGGCTTCCCAGACACAGGAGGGAGTAGCCTGGAAGAAGGCTTTGCCCCACCAGGCCAAAGATTCCTCCCCGTCTCAGCTTTGCCTGCCCTTTTGGTCCCTGCCCTTTCTTCTAGCAAGAAAGGGAGAGAGGCTTCCATGCTCTGAAACCTCTAAGTCAGTCACCTACTTAAAATCTACAGCAGTTCCCTGTTATCAACAGCATCAAGTCCACCTTTCTCCACCTAGCTTTTGGGACCCTGCATCTGTCCAGGTTATCTCCCACTGGCCAGGCCCCTCAGCTACAATCAGCTGCCGTCCTCCTTGATTTCTGCTGTTTTCTGCCTTATCTTTTTAGTTCTGCTGTTCTCCTACCTCATCTCCCTCCATATAACCTTCCACAGACTTCCTCCCACGTAATTCATCCCTCCAAGCCAGCTGCTCTTACACCCTCCTCACAAGACCTTCCTAGAGATGCCAACTGTCCTGGATTGGTGCTCCCTTTTTTTAATCCCAGTGGTACTTGCAGCATTGAGTGTCTTCATTCATTGACTGCTTTATATATGTGAGTTATGTCTTCCCCAACTAGATTCTGCGCTCCTTAAGCTTTTTATCCCACAATCCCAAGCACATTGCTGGGTTATATAGATGCTCACTAATCGTTTTTTTTTTTTAATTCATTCATTGATTAATGGACATCTCCAATCGTTTTGTTCTTCTGTCTTCCAGGGAAAGCTCTACACCTGTTCAGATAGTTCCAAGCAAACTGAGGCAGAATGCAAGTGAGTACAGGCTGGAGGACAGCCAGCACCAAGGCTGATTAACTCTGGGAGGCTGGTGACTTGGCATGAGAGGACGGGCTGCCCATTCCTTCTCAAACAACAGTGGCTACTGGACTTTTACTTATATGCAATCTTGTCCCTTTGACGAGACATGTAACATTATCTATTCCTAAAGGTTCTACCCATGAAGCTCTTCCCAGTGGCTAAAACTGTGGGGTTTAAACCTAACCAGTCCCAACCCACCCAGCATGCTGGGAGTCATTGTTGGGCCAGGTGTGAAGGGAGGTTGGAGACCCCAGAATGAACTCTTTCTCTCCTCTCTCAGGGGTAACTACATCACGTACAAGGATGGGGAGGTTGACCATCCCATCATCCAGCCCCGCAGTTGGGAGAACAGCAAGTTTGACTTTGACAATGTTCTGGTGGCTATGATGGCCCTCTTCACTGTCTCCACTTTTGAAGGGTGGCCAGAGTGAGTATGCAAACCAAGGCCTTACCCAACCTGATATTAGAGGGTCAAGTCATTGGCCTCCCACCCATTTCCCAAGTTGTGTTAATGTCCCTCACCCCTTCCCAGAGGTCATACCTGTGTCCTCCCCAGGCACTGAGGGTGTTTCTAGAACAACCTGTAGTTCATGGTCACTGTTAAAACATAGATTCTTCTTCTTCTAGAAGATGTCAACATTTTAGAAATGCCCAACAAAACTGAGCTTCTTTTAGGCCTCCTTCTCACCTCGGTGTGAGCCATAATAATACGGGTCTCTGTCATTACACACGTGACATCTGGGAGTGGGATACGGGAAGAGTTTTCCCAGTTGTGGGCCCTTTCATCACCACAGGATGCAAGATTACCACTCTCAATATGCACTCAATGTGGATAAAGATGACTGAAGTATCTCTGTTTTATTAGATTCTGTCCTAGTCTCCTTATAGAGAGCCTTGTCTGTATTTGCAGTGGAAAGTAAGGAAGGGATGAAAACTTGTGTCTAAGGTCCTCTGCAGAAGCACACCAAAAAACCAACCTGGTTAGTGTCACCTCTACCATGCAGATTGTCCATCAGGTGCCCGTTATATTTTTGTATAGACACCTGCTTACCCCCAGTATTTGTTCCAGTGAAATTATAATCTCAAAATTCAGAAAACTCTAAATATTTCTAAGTCAACAACAGTGCATGGAACTTAGATGAAAGTAGTTATTATTATGTGGTGAAATACAGATGACACCTAAAGCACAGCTAAGCACTGTGGAGAGTGACAAAGGAAGTAGAGGAAGTAATCCCTGCCTGAGGAGAATAACAAGTGTAATGGGGCACATCGCTCTGGCTTAAATGAGTAGCACACATGTGTAAACTGCGAAAGTATAAAGCCAAAATATTGTTGATAGTCTGAATGAACATGGGTCATGGAAGTGTTTTTATCTAAATTGATGTTTGCTCTCAAATAGATTTATTTTATGTGCACTCTAACCTCCTCTGAGTCCATGCCAGTTTGCAAAGTTGTTTCAATTTTATCAATATTATCAATATTTGAAGTCAATGTCCATGACTCATGTTACATTTAAGTAGTTTTTGACAGTTTCAAAACTCCTTCATATACCAACTATCCTGCAAGGCAGGAAAGTCAGGAGTTACTGTCTCTATTTTCCAGATGAAGAATCTAAGACTCAAAGAGGTTAAGTGATTGGCTCAAGGTCACACGGCCAGTAAGTAGCAGAGCTGGGACTTGAACCCAGATCTTCTGAATCCTAGCCTAGAGCTATCTCCAGTAACCCTGAATCCAGGGACTCCTAGGAGCAGCAGTGCCATCATTCCACAGAGGTGACACTGCTTCTCCAGTTCCCTCTGTGGGGCCTGTCTCCTCCTCCAGGCTGCTGTACCGCTCCATCGACTCCCACACGGAAGACAAGGGCCCCATCTACAACTACCGCGTGGAGATCTCTATCTTTTTCATTATCTACATCATCATCATTGCCTTCTTCATGATGAACATCTTCGTGGGTTTCGTCATCGTCACCTTCCAGGAGCAGGGGGAGCAGGAGTACAAGAACTGTGAGCTGGACAAGAACCAGGTAGCTTCCTAGGAAGGAGAGGAGCAAGGAGGTGAGGAGGGAAGCAGGGCCCACATAAGGAATGACAGCAGTTGGCAACTGTGGCCCACCCAAAGGAGAGGCTATAGTTAGGGAAGAGGTCAATACAGATACTAAGATCATCTGTCCACTCCTCAACGAGCAGAGGGCTCTCCGTCTTCCTGAGTAGCCTGTGCAAAAGCAGTGCAAATCCCTGGAAATCCCAAATTTGGCAAATGTATTCATCCAACAAGTATTGATTAAGCACTACTTAAGGAGATCCTGGTAGCTCAGTGGTTAAGTGTTTGGCTGCTAACCAAAAAGTCAGCAGTTCGAATCTCCCAGCCGCTCCTTGGAAACACTATGGGGCAGTTCTGCTGTGTCCTGTAGGGTTGCTATGAGTCGGAATCGACTCGACAGCAACGGGTATGATAGGGTCTGTGAAAAAATCTTATGCCCTCTGTAGAAGTTGACAAGTTAGAAGGTGCCTGGGTATGTTGGCACAGTTGATAAAGAGGAAAGAAACTGGAGCCAAGTGAGGGTGAGAGCTTTTGGGATGGGATGGGAAAAAGAGCAGCTTTAGAAAACCACTCTTAAATGTTTTCTTAAGGAAAACACACATAGATATGCATGAGGTGGGGGCAGGAACAAGATTTAAGTAGGGGCAATATGGTAATGTTCTGTTAGGCTATGAAATCCCTGCTTCTCAGAAAAAGAGCTGGGAACTCCCGTTAGTGAGGAATGAAGCTGTTAGGGTTGGGTGTAGGGTGTGGTCACTGAGGCCAGCTAGGTTCCTGATGAGAAGACTGATGGGGACATCCCTGTTCTGAGTGACCAGAGGACTGCTAATGGAAGGAGCATGACACAAAGTTCATCTCTACCCCATCCAGGCTGGTTGATCACCTCATGGGTTTTGATGTCAGCATCTTAGGTGTAGACTCATCATCCTGGCTGCTGTGTGGACTTTGCATTGGAAGTAAGGCAGGAAACAGGAAACAGGAGCAATGTAATAGTGTAGATGAGAGATGAGTAGACCCTGCATCAGGTCTGTACTATTAGAGATGGAAAAGAGTAGAAGGAGGTAAAATCAGTAAGGCTTAGAGATTGGATATGGAGGCTGAGGGTAAAAAGAAGAGGCTGGAGTGACTCCCAGATTCCTGATTTGGTACAGAGAAATGAACTGGGTCTGTGCTAGAGTCCCAAGAATCTAGTCAGCCTAAAATCTTATGCCCTATCAAGAGCTGTGCCTTCTGCCAAGGGAGACAGAAAGAACAGAAGGCTTTTCCTCTTCTCCTTGTGGATTGATTTAGGACAGGAAAGAAAAATTGAGGAGAGAAGTGTTCCAAAGAGTCTGTGGCATTGGATATAATCAATGAGAAAACCAACTATCAGTCCATCAGTAAGTATTTATTAAATGCTGCCTAAGTGCTAAGCACTCTGCCAGGCATTAGTGGGTTGGAAGAAAAAGAGACACATGTAGACCTTGCCTACAATTTAAATAAGGAGACTTGACTAGAAGGAATTCTCTCCTTGATTAAGGGAGTGATGGAAAATCACATATTTTTCCAAATAACATCTCAAACCTGTCAGTGAGCTAGAGCAGTAGATTATTTCTCTGACTTCCTGAGACCCCTATCCCCAGGGTGTGTAGTTTCATCTACATCCCACCCTCCTCTGTCATCCCCCATAGTATCACCCAGGTAGCTAACCCCACTCTCTTCCCATCCCCACCTCTCCTACTGCCTCCCTCCAGCGACAGTGCGTAGAATACGCCCTCAAGGCCCGGCCCCTGCGGAGATACATCCCCAAGAACCAGCACCAGTACAAAGTGTGGTACGTGGTGAACTCCACCTACTTTGAGTACCTGATGTTCGTCCTCATCCTGCTCAACACCATCTGCTTGGCCATGCAGGTCAGTCCAAGGGAGAGCACTGGTCCAAAGATGCTTCCATGGGGAGAATGCTATGGGAGGATATGAAGTGTAAAAGAGCTACATTATCCTCTCTGGTTTGTCCTGTCCCCAGCAGCCAAGGGAGGCAGAAAGAGAAGAAGAGATGGCCCCTTCTCCCTGTTGGAGAAAGGCAAATGTCCCTTCTCAAGGATGAGCTCCTCTCTGGGACCTTTGAAAGAATCTGTAGCACCCTAGGTTGATAAAACAGAGAGAGGGAAGGAATGGAGAACAGAGAGAGTGAGCTTTAAGTGTGCATTATTGTCAGTAAAGCATGAGGTGTGGAGATTGGTTCTATATCCACCTGTCTTCAGGGAGGCCAGCTTGTGCTAGAGGTCTCTTGAGTGCCAGGAGTCTCCATAAAGTTGTCCCAACCAATCAAAGAAGGAACACAAAACTCAGCCAACCTTCATTTTCAGAGATGGCAAAGAAGGAAAGAACTTGTAGGACCCTGAGTCCACCTGACTGCCCATGAGAGGTAGAGGCCCTGCCAGGGGTTTGTTTGAAGGAAGATCTCTGAGATGAGGGCCTCTGGGAAGGCTGAACAGAAGGTAGAGGGTGGAGAGGAATCGGGATATCCCAACCTCGTTTTTATGGTTTCTCTCTTCCCCACTCCTTGGGGATCTGCCCGTCCCCTCAGCACTACGGTCAGAGCTGCCTGTTCAAAATCGCCATGAACATCCTCAACATGCTCTTCACTGGCCTCTTCACTGTGGAGATGATCCTGAAGCTCATTGCCTTCAAACCCAAGGTAGGCCTCTCATTAAATTGAAGGTGCTGGAGGATGGAGACGAAGGGGAGGCAGGAATGAAAGTATTGAAGGAAGGAGAGTGAGGGGCAGAAATAATCAGTGAAAGGACCTCAACCTGCCGAGAGTTGTTGAACCAGGCCAACTCCTTGAAGCAGAATCTCAACTCAGGGTCTGGACCATAGCTGGGATGCACAGGAAGCTGATTCCTCCCTGAGTGAGCCTCTCCTTCTAGGAGAGGCAGATGATGGTCCTTCTCCTCTCACTTCCCACCCTGTCTCTGGCCCATCCCACAGTCCATAATCTAGAGGAAACTATGCCCACAGACTGGCAAACCAAACCTCTCCAGGCCCAATCCCCGAGACCCACTCAGGCATCTGCGGCGCCCTACCCAATCTCATCATTTACAAAGACCAACCTCATGTAAAAAATTCAGCTGGGGCTGAATTTGCTCAGGTTTCAGTGTTCTGGATTCAGAGGCTACTTCACTGCTCCCTTGCACCCTCCAGCACAGGAAGAGAAGTTACCTGTAAATTTCTATGCTTTGCTCTTTGTAAGTGCTTCTAGAAAAAAACAAAACAAAACATTGGGAGGGAAGATCAGAACCATTGGCTGAATGAGACAGGGTAGGAAAGATTGGATTACCTGTCAATTTGGATTATCTGTGCCCTCCCCAACCAGCTCCACCTCATAGTCCTGGATAATGGAGCAGCAGACTGGTTTGAACAGTACCTTCCATCACTGGGCTCCGTAGACAGGTCAGGATCACTGGCATCCATTGGCCCGGAATTCACAACATGGAACGCCACTTCTGAAGGAGGGTTTAACAGCGTACAGTGTCTCCCCTGGCTACTAAAATACTTTGGGGGAATGATCAGAAGAAAAGGGTTGGTTCTAGGAGAATTTTGCAGTTACAGACTTGAGAAAATCTCTGCAGCTTTCAGAAACTTCTCTTTCCCTCCTTTACTAGCAGTATTAATTGCTGGCAGGAGAAAGGAAACATTGCTCCTTGGCTGTTGAATCCATGTTAATTGACTAGCATATCCATCTTCTTTTTTGAATTAATATTCAGCTAAGATTTCTTGATAACCTACCATGGGCTATATATACATCATTGCATGTAATCCTGAAACACTCCATAAAATAGGTATTCACATCCCCATTTTAGGATAAGGGAAGTGAGGCTCAGAGCAATTAAGTGCCCAATATTAATTATACCACTTCTAAGTGGCAGAACTGGGGTTAGAATCTAGCACTACTGACTTTATAGCTGATCTATTTTCTACCACACCAAGCAGTTACCAAGCATCTTTCCATGTCTAGTGCTCTACTGGGTACTTTTCAGAAATAGAGAAACCAGTTTTGATGGACTTAAAAGATAAGACAGATAATATTCTTGCATGCTGATTCTTCCTCTCACTCATAAAGAATGCCTAGGGATCCTGGCTAATTTTCAGAGCATAAGACTCTAAAGAACATCATTTGGTGATAATAATGGTGTTTTCCTACCCCATCCGGAGCAGCAAATATACTCTTTCTCTCTCATTTCAAAACCCAGTACCATTTAGGGATGTACATTTTGTCCTGGCCTAGAGAGGACCACCGAACTGCCCTGGCCAACTTCTGCAGGGCCCAAGTATCTCTGCCCAAATGTGGTACCATTCCAAGCCACATGGCCCAAGAGTACTGACAGGTTCACCACCCACAGCAACATGACTGGGTGAAGCTGGGAATGAAGAATCATTGCCGAGTTGGGCTTCTTCTCAGATGACAGCCTCTCAGTAGGGAAACTGGCACCATTTTCATCCAGTTTTATGAGACATATGGTTTAAATATTTCAAAGCCTTGAGTCATTCCACAATTGACTCAGATGTGTTTCTGATGATGTCTGATGCAGTCTGCAGAGCCCTGCAGTGGACTTTCTGAATCATGGCTTATGAACACAAGAGATTTATTAGGCAAACCTACCTTAGGAAGTAAATGAAACTGGCACCTCCAGGGGACTCAGCCTGAAGGACACTCCACCTAAATCCTGAAGCTCCAGGGACAATCCAATTCCTACCAAGTAACTAGCTGTGATGGTCTAAACCTTAAACTCCCTCCTAGTTTTCTTAATCCCTAGTTTTCTATGATGAGAAGACTGGGTAAATTTAGAAAGACTTTTCCCAAAAAAAGAAGAGAGCCATCCTGGGGCTATTTGCATTTCATGCCCTCCAGGGTAATCTGTGATATAAAGAGAAAGGAAAATGGCTCTGTTCCATGAATACCCCTGAAGGGACTTCTGGCAATAGAGAGGTAAAGTTCATTGGCTCTGGGTGGCCAAAGAAGGTTGACCAATTGGAAGGGACATTGAAGGAGCAGAGTTGCCTGGATTCTCATTAGGCTATTTTCTTCATTCAGGAATGTTGTTGTTGTGTTGTTGTTGCTAGGTGCGATAGAGTCAATTCCAACTCATAGCAACCCTATGTACAACAGAAAGAAACATAGCAACCCTATGTACAACAGGAGATGGTCCTGCACCATCTTCACAATCGTTGCTATGTTTTAGCCCATTGTTGCAGCCATTGTGTCAATCCATTTGGTTGAGGGTCTTCCTCTTTTTTTCTGACCCTCTACTTTACCAAGCATGATATCCTTCTCCAGGAACTGGTCTCTTCTGATAACACGCACAAAGTAAGTGAGACAAAGACTCACCATCCTCACTTCTAAAGAGCAACATCCCAAAAAATTTCAGACACAAAACCAAACCAGAAACTATTTGCAACTCTGGTAGAAATATCTAGCTGGATCTGGTCCAAGAACCAGTAGCTTCTGACAGTGACCTAAAAAAGTACACAACAGCTTTCATATCTCACAATTATTTCATTAGCATGATTGTTTATATATGATATAAATGAGCTTGCAGTTCCAAGCATTAGCTGTAAAAGAACAGTTAAGCAGCAAGGATATGGAAGATTGACATTAATCCTAGCCAGGGAGAAGTTAGCTAGTGCTTGAATTTTTTTCTCTATCCTCTTAGTCTCTGTGACTGGTTGGCTGGTTGGTTGGTTGATTGGTGGTACTCTGGTTTCATTCTTCCATTGTCTTCATGGTAATTGATGTTCCCAATGTCTTCATGTCTATCCATCTCCTCACCACTCCATGGAAAATGAATTTACTCAAGTAAATCCTGACCCTAAATACAGTTTCCCCACTTTTTGAATTCACACCCTGCTCCAAACATAAAAGGGGTGAATAAAGCCAGCTTAGAGAAATTCAACTCCCCACCAAAACCTCAGGGATCTGTGGTGATGGTTCAAAAAGAATGGGATAGGTAACAGTAGTATAAATTTGAACACCTAACAGCAAGATAGAGGAAATTCCTTCCTTAGAAGTTGGAAAAATAATTGGGAGATAACTCGATGCTACCTGGGTCCTACATGATTGTGTAGAACCAAGTTGGTCAGCATAAAAAAATTTTGGTTGGCATGGTCTGAGAGTAAGTACATAGCTGAATTGTCCTCTTATCATGAACTGATTTTATCAGCAAAGACAGAAAATAAAAAAATAAGATATCCTTTATAGTCAGCATTGAAAAATATTCAATGCCTAGGAATAAATCTAGCCAAAAATATGTGAGATCCCTACAGAGAAAACTATAAATTTTTAATAGAGAGGAATTAAAGAAAACCTAATAAATGGAGAGACATATAGTGTTCATGAATTGGATGATTCGATATTGTAGAGGTGTTATTTCTTCTCAGACTGACCCACAGATTCAACACAATCTCGATTAAAGTCCAAATTGAACTTTACCCAAGGTGAGGGTTGGCAGGAGAAAAGGGAGCCACATAGCAAATCCTTTATGGCCAGTAGGATGACCCTCGGTAGTCCCAAGGTTTCAATACATTTAGCACCACCATAGATGGGGGGTGCAGGAATACGGTTCTGGCAACAAGGTCAATCACAGCTACTCTACTGCCTACTAGAGGTTTCAGTACCAGGAGGAACGTTAGTTGCCTGGAACCTGCTACTGATGATGTCTCAGCAAGGGCCGTGAGGGGAGGGAGAGCTAGAGGAGGGGCTACAGGCTTCTCCTCCCCAGCAGAAGTGGTCTGCCCAAGAAGGTTGAACCTTACCCCAAAGGACAGGTTCCTAACTACTCTCTTCCCTATCTTCCATATGGGTCATGGAAGGATGATAACATGGACTGCTATTTCTAGACTTACCTCATTCACCTTGGCTAGAGGCATCCTTGTTGGGCTGCTGCCCACTCAGGAAATAGCCAGTACTCTGCTTCTTAGCATCTTCTCCAGTGGGAGGAAGCTGGAGGAGATTTGACCCTGGCAGCTCTCTGTGATCAAAGACTTGCTTCCCTTTTTAGATTTCTCCCAGCCTGAAAATAGTCCAGAGAGGAGAAAGGAACCAAAGTGAAAACACTCACTGACCCTCCTCGCCGCAGCTTTCTTGAATAATAGCAACCGATGCCACAGGGCACACTTTCATGTTGCAGGACATGTTAGGGCCCAAAGGCATTTCAAACCTAAGAGATGAAGGGAAGCCAATAGACCAGCACCATCCAATAGAACCTTTACAATAAATGAAAATGTTCTATATCTGTGGCTATTGAGCCCTTGAAATGTAGCTAGTGCAACTGAGTAATTGAATTTAATTTTATTTAATTAGTTTGTATTTAAATAGCTACAGTGGCTAGTGGTTGAGTTGATTCCAACTCATGGCAACCCCATGTGTCTCAGAGTGAACCAGGCTTCTTCTCCATGACATTTCCAGTATCTAGTATCCTCTATCTACCTGCCTTGGCTTCTTCAGCACAGCTGCTCTGGCTTCCGTTAAACCAGATGGTTTATCTCACCCACTCTACCCTTTCTCCAGCTGGTAATTTTCTGCTGGACTCAAATAGGGGCACCCCTCCTGGTGAGATAAGACAATCTCTTGCCCTAGGATCTCCAGTCCCAGTGTGGATTTTCTCCTGACTCTGTTGGAGCCCTGTTGGCACGGTGTTA